GGGTTGGTTGGCAGCTAAGGACAAGTGATGCTTCTTGTGACCTGGCTTAGCATGTGGTTTAGAGCTCTCCATGAGCAGTTCTACATTTTCTAACTCTAATTTTCTAACTATTGCATGGAAGTGGTGAGGGTCGGTTCAGACAATAGTGGGAAACCTTGCATCTGTAAGGGTGCTCCACAGGACATGGAGACCACCCAGTGCTTGGCTGATCTTTACCATTCATACTCAGATGCTAAAAAGGTGTGGAGAATGATGTGAGCAAAGCGCTGCGATGATAATAACACAAGCTCTCTAGGGAACTGGGATAGCTTAGCCTTTACCATGACCTTGTCTGGGGCACATTGTCAGAGTAAGGAGATGAGACAGTGATTAGATGAACTTACCGCATATAAAATGGTAAGGACCTACATGTATTTAATGGATAATATATACTTTAGATATCAGCTAGCAATATATAAGCAAATGCATAAGCCATATAAATGGGGGCTTAGTTTAATAGTTTGGTTCATAAGACCTTTGAATACTCCTTTTTGGGAATGAGTGCAAAACAAAGCCATTTAGTGTACTAAATATCCTATTCAGTTCTTGACATGTCTCTGACTTGGATACAGAACACGGCCAAGGTTACAAGGATGAAGATACAATGAAAGGTTAAGAGGATCCTGCCAAATATAATTAGGATAAACAAGAAAAGTCCCCAAATCCCTGTCAAATATTCAGATGAATAGTTTTGTTATGGTTCAGAAGTAGATAAGTGGTATAATTTAGAGTGTAATGAGGAATCTTATATTGGTCATAGAACATTATTAAGTATTATGTAATGAATCAGAGGCGGAGGTGTTGATAAAAGTATGGTATCATCTTGTGTATAAAGGAGTGCATAGAGACTTAAGTCTTTGTCTTTGTTTGTGTACAGCCGTGCACTCAGCCAGATCATTGGTTGGTCACCCTCAGCTGATCACTGGAGTGTGGCACGTTGTACCTATGCTAAAATAAACCTCTGGATCTGAACTCTGAAGTTAGCAGTGGTTTTGTCTACTACACCAAGCAGTGATTGTCTCTTTTGCTAGGGTCATAAAGTAAACTGTGGGCCTGGTTGGTGGTCCTGAAAACCTCCTTACAGTAGGTTCCCCCATTCCTCCAGTTTAAGATGAAATCTCAATCCACTATTCCACAACTTCCTCCTACTCAACTGCTGCATCCTCCAGCATCTCCCCTGACAACCTCTATGATACAGCGATGAGTTGTCAATACAAAAATCTGCAGCATTCTGACAAGGTGGGGACAGGGTAAAATAAACGGAATTAATACCAAAATAAAAAATACAGTGTGCTGACCGCATTATTCATTACCATATATAATTCATTCAAATCCTCCATTTATAAACTGTAATCAAAGCTGCACAGAACTTCAGGATTATGTGACACTGGAGGGCTGTGTAATCCAGAGATTTTGCCTCAGACTCTAGGTCCAGACTCCTGAAAAGTTTGAGTGTCATTTATTCTCTCTTACTTTAACAACCATTAACAGAAGCGTATTATTTCAGTTGTGGCACACAAAAAATCACCAAAATACTTATTAGAAGTAAAGTGGATGTAAGTAGAAGCACATTAAATGATCTAGATTCTTGATTTATAAACACCACTGTTTGTTTTATTTCTTAATTCCCAATTTCATATGTTCTGTTGTTTTAATAGCTCCTTTAAATCTCAGCAAAATGTGATTTGTGAGAGAAACATTCAAGCTAGGGACTCTCCAATAGCTATGTGCTTGACCTCTCATACAGAGGGATCTCCATGTTCTGACATTGCCTCACTTTTTAAAAAATAATAGGGAAACAGAGAAATACTATGGGGAAAATTCACTCCTGGCATAACTCTAATGAAGCCAATTATGTTAAACTAAGGATGAATTTGGTTCAGCAGAGCAGATCTTCTGCCACCATCCACTCCTTTTGCTCTCTGCAAATTGAGCTGACACCTCTTGCAAGTCCCCTGCTGGGGGTTCTGCTGGTATGGGAAGATTCACCAGCAGGCATAGCTGGCCCCTATGTCTCCCTCCCTGCCAAAATGACATATTGAGGTGGGTGGAGGTGTGTACTGGGCCAAGACAGTGGGATAGGTGGCAAGAGCATGCGGGCTCCAGCTATGTGCTTCAGCCAGCACGCTGCCCTAACCAGCGCCAGGGCTAGTGCAGAGATTCAGGGAACCACAAGAGGCTTGTTTGCAATCTACCCCAGCTCTGCTTTACCCAGCAGAAGTTGGATGCAGCAGTGAAAGTGCCTCAATATATCTGGGTTGATTTCATTACATAAGCTTCTTGACAGAGTGTAATCAGGTGAACTTGACATCATTTACCACAGGATAAACACTGAATTGTAAAAGTCAAATTGAATCCCTCATGCTCTGAATGAGGACTTGTGAAGTGCAGCAGTGCAAGCAGGGCCAGTAGATGTATAGAATGAGAAGGCTGAGGACTAGGGGAGTCCTAGGGATTTCAAAGAAATCTCCCTCACGCTCCACTGTATGTAGAAATCAATGAAAAAATCCAGAGGAAAGAATTTCTTAGTGTGGGGCGTACCAGGGGTCAACCAAATCTGCTGTATGGGTTGGATTTAACTGATATGGACTGTGTCTACACTAGAGACCTTACAGCAGCACCACTGTAAGGTCTCTGTGTAGCTGCTCTATGCTGAAGTGGGAGAGCTCTCCCGTCGGCATAATTAAACCTCCCCCAATGAGCGGCGGTAGCTATGTTGACAGGAGAGCATCTCTCAGTGACCTAGCGCTGTCCACAGCAGCGCTTCTGTCCATGTAACTTATGTCAGTCAGGGGTGTGGTTTTTTTCACACCTCGACCAACAAAAGTTTTACCGACAAAAGTGCTAGTGTAGACATAGCCTGAGTTAATAAAGAAATTTAACTTTAGCCACTAAGTGTTCTAAAGTGAAACATGAAGATGGCTGAAAACATTGCCCAGATCTATCTATGAAATGTATGCTATGAACACAGAGCCCGGCTATAAAACTGATAGTTTCTCCACAAAGCATGTGATACTGAATTGGGCCAACAATGCTGAATTTTGTAAAGTTTTATATATATATATATTGGTAAAAGTGCTTAAATATACTTTATCCTATTGTGCTGTGTGTTTACTACCTTAATTTAATGGCTAAATTGATAGCTAATTATAATTTGATAAGAAAATGAGTTTGGAACATATAAGATTTACATGTTCAACATCTTAACTGTAACGTGGCTGGCTTACTTTTAAGTGTTTTCATATTTTGTCCTTAACAACTCTAGAATCATTATAAGAACCAGGAAGTATATTTGTAGCAAATCATTTCAATACCGCTCAGAATTTTCACAGAAGCCCTTTGTTTCTTGTTGCGGGGGGGAGAAAGGGTTTTGATATCTGCCTACTTGCTGACACTCATTTACTCACGCTTTAAAATAGCCTCCACACTCAGGTCATGCAATCCAATGCAAACCAGGGATAGTCTATCCAGAGCCATATCCATGGGGGCAATGATTATTAAAGTGACATATTCTTGAAGCATGAGAGCAGCGTTTCCCAAACTTGGGACGCCGCTTGTGTAGGGAAAGCCCCTGGTGGGGGCAGGTTTGTTTACCTGCCGCGTCCGCGGGTCCAGCCGATTGCGGCGCCCACTGGCCGCGGTTCGCTGCTCCAGGCCAATGGGAGCTGCTGGAGGCGGCGCAGGCCGAGGGACGTACTGACCACTGCTTCCTGCCGCCCCCATTGGCCTGCAGCAGCAAACCGCGGCCAGTGGGAGCCGCAATCGGACCTGCGGATGCGGCAGATAAATAAAGTGGCCCGGCCCACCAGCGGCTTTCCCTGCACAAGTGGCGTCCCAAGTTTGGGAAACACTGCATGAGAGAATACAATTGCCATCACAAAACAAGTCATACTGCTCTGTGTACTTCTGTAGGCATTTCACACAAACTCACATGCCCGCGCGAATGCACACACACAAAAGGGGTTCTCTCCCCCTTTCAACTCTTTAAGAAATGGACACTGGATATGTAAAAAGGTTGTCTTCTTTGATTCTTGTGCTCGCCAGTCATTAAAAGGTTCCTTTCCAGAGCAGCACAAAAAAAGAAGAGCTGGTTGACAGAACATTTTTTTTCTTACAAAGATGTGTCAACCCTGAGCTTGTAATTAAGAAGTTAAAATCTGTGATCTCTATATATTTATATATATAAAAATAGATGATCATACTAAGACTAAAAAAGTGAAAGAAATCTCCATGTCAGTACTATATTTTTTTGTCTTGACTTTTTGTAGCACAGTACTCCTTGTGATACAGAAACTAACAAATGCAAAGGATGTAGTTATGTGTGAAACTCACTTATTGATCCAATCACTCTTATCAGTCCATTAAAGAATTGTCAGGTCGGTAGGATAATGAACACAGTAGCAGAAAATTGTAATCAATGTCAAACCTGTGGCAAAAGAAAAGAGATTTTATCACAAGATATTATTTTCTGTCCAAACCCTTGAGGGAAGATTTGTTTAGCATCACCACAATTGTTGATGGGATGCGAGGTGGAAATCAGTGCCAATTATGTAACCATCAGTACTGAAAGAAGCTAGAGAAATAGTGCAGCTACTCAAATTTTTACTGGGCATCAAGATTTAAATCATAAGCAACTGTAACATGATATTCTGAGCTTAGTGGTGTTACTATAATACTAAAAGACAAGCTTCTTTTTTCAGCTTCCTGTACCTTCATACCAATTTCATGTTGTTGGCAGATGGAGTGCAAGATATTCACCATTGAAACAAACTCTTATCGTTGTGTTAGAAAAAAAATCCAAACTTCCTTGCAATAGGAATGATAATTTTGATGACCTGAATCACTGGACAGAACCCCCTAGAGAATGCCTGGGTGTCTGTGAAGAACTTTTGTCTTTTTGTTCCTCTTTTGTTGTTGTCTTTTTGTTTTATTTTTCTTGAAAATGCAGCAGCCTTAAGTTGGGCCTGATTTAGAAGGAAATTTGTTTTCTTTGTTTCTTTCTCTTTTTTTTTCTTGTTAAGGAAACCCTCACACCGTAAGATCCTTTTTACTTCTGCAGCATAATGCAGCTCAGAAAGTCTCCAATAATAAAGATCTGAGAAACGGGACATTGTCTTCACAGATATCTTGAAAGAAACAGGAAGCAGTTCAGTCTGGCACCTGGTACTCTTTGGGAAAACAAAAAGGGAAGCAGGCTGCATTACTGCTCTCTTCTCATAGAAATCTGTAAATATTTGTGGCATGGTCCATAGTCCAAGAGTGTAAGAAAAGGAGCAAGTTGGCTGTTTTTGTAGCTAAAACACAGTCTCTCTGACCAGAACCAGGATTATCTCCACTGTCTCTGCAGTACAAGGACGATGCAGATGATGAACAACGTAAACAGTGACTGGCTAGACTGGATTGCTGAAGAGTCTACTTCTCTCCTGTCTGAGTCAACAGGTGGTGCTTCCGTGGTGATGAAGTCAAACTCTGTCGGACAGATATCATCAGTGCAACCACTTCCGCTTCCTGAGCCACTGGTTTCATCACCTAGCACAGGGAGGTAAGAAAAACAACATAAGAACATAGAATTCAACCATTCATCCCTCAAATCAATTGTTCTGACTTTCAGAGAAGTAGCCAACACCTGATGTCTCAGAGGATGGTGGAAAAGCCCATCTCACAATTGGTGAATTATGCAGTGGTCCAAGACCCCAATTCAGCAAATTTCTTTACCCTGTGTTTAAATCCATTTCTATTCTGCAAAGCAGTCACTAAAAGTTACTGGAGTTTAAGCAAGTACTTAAACTCTTGCTGAATAGGGATGGGTTTAAGCATGTTCTTAACATGATGGCATGTACTCCCTGCATAATGTATGTTGGTAACCAAATGATAACAAAGGAAACAAGTATCATATGAAAGCTTTAGAATGCAGGCTGCACGGGGCAGAGACTGTGACTTTCTCTATGTTATCAACAGCACAGAGAACATATTTGCTCAATAAATAATACTGTTTTAATACATTAGTAACCTTGCACATACACAGAAAAGGTGATTCTCTTCTCTCTCTCGTACATCAGTGTAAAGCAAGAGTAACTCTTTTGAAGTCAATGAAGTAATGGATCAACTAGTGTAGGTAAGAGACAAAACAATCACTTTAGCTTTTTTAGCTCAACCCTTAGGTGTTTAGGCTTTCAATTTAAGGTTGTTTGCTGAACTATGGCACATCTGGATTCTTGAATATATTAATTAGGAATCCAGCTGCAAATTAGACCACTTCACTTTATTATGCCTATGTGTTTGCAATGATTCCTCTGTCTCATAAACTCATACCTTCTAAATGGGACAGTATCTAAGAGGAGTTTCAGAGTAGCAGCCGTGTTAGTCTGTATCCGCAAAAAGAAGAACAGGAGGACTTGTGGCACCTTAGAGACTAACAAATTTATTAGAGCATAAGCTTTCGTGGACTACAGCCCACTTCTTCGGATGCATATAGGCTTCCATAAATGTCAATTTGCTGGCATGCATCCAACAAGACAACATATAAAATAAAATATTCAAAAAGTAAATAAAAAAAAATTACTTTACCTTGTATCATTCCATTATATGACATTAGTCACTATACTACATTTAATTATGCTAATTTTATACAGGACATTGTGATAACTCAAGAGTAAAGAAGCGTTGGTCTCTTAACATATCTTTTTCTGTACATGTATTCTAGCTCTCTAGCAGACCTAGCCTGCAATTATAGTGACAATAGTACTACTAGACAGTATGTTGATTCTCCTTAGCACACCTAATGGCTATTTGCATGATATTTTTTTCATGCGTATTGTCCTATCTCTAGTGAATCTTCTGTATACACATGTGAGCATAATGCTCATTGTTTTCTGCCTCTAGAATATTGGAAGTTCTTCATCAAAAATTTGGAGAGGGATACATGATTTTATGTTATGACATAGCTGATTATTATTTATGTAGCACCAGCATGCTCAGGACTTTACAAACAAGCATGAAGACAATGTCCCTACTCTGAAGAATTTACAGTTTAAATGATTAAAAGTGCACCTTTCATTTTATTCCTACATTTAGAATATTTCTAACACTTCAATCCCTTCCATTCACTGTCTTTTGTGAGATAACAATGCTTTGTTCTCTTTATTGCATCTGTCCAGATCTTCTTACTGCATCACATCCAGATGTGTATTTGTCTCTGAAGTAAATCTGGCTTCTTTCCTGATATTTCCAAACCTTTTCTTCACCTGGTCAGCAGTGGCCAAAGCAGTTCATGGTAAAGAACTAGAGTTTTAATTTTTGATTAAGCAAAATGAGACTAAGGAAGTTCATGTCTGAAGTTCCACTGTATCAGATACTTAGACTTTGTGTACACTACGAAGTTATGCCGCTGTAATTAACACGCGGTTGCATGTCTACTCTATGTCGGCAGAGTGCATCCACACTCAGAGCCATCCCTTGGGTAGGGCGAATTGGGGTGGCCGCCCTGGACCCCGCGCTTTTGGGGGTCCCGCGCTTCGATCAAATCGGGACTGTCCTGATATTTAGCCCTTTGTCCTGTGTCCCGACCATTGTACGATTGGGGTATCATTTGTCCCAATATTCAGGTGAGGAGGCGGGCGGGGAGGTGAGGCAGGCGGGCTAGCGGGGTGAAGAGATGAACAGGGAGGCGAGCGGCAGGCGGACAGGCAGGAGGGGGGTGAGGAGGCAGGAGGGGGATGAGGAGGTGAGCGGCAGCCAGGCAGATGGGGGAGGGGGATGAGGAGGTGAGCGGCGGCTGGGCGGATGGTGAGGAGAGTAGCAGGGAGGCTGATTTGTCCTGGGCCCCACACCCCGCTAGGGACAGCCCTGTCTGCACTAGCAGTTCTTGCATCAACACAGAGAACAGTGCACTGTGGATAGCTATCCCACTGTGCAACTGGTTGCAGGGTGCCTTGGGACAGGTTTGCAATGCCTCATGGGGCGGGTACAGCATCACATGATGCAGATTTCTCAATCCCATCGTTCCATGGGCATCCTATTAGACTACTGGCCACTTTTCAACTGAAGTGTATGTGAGGGGTGGGAGGAGGGAAGACTGTGTGGCAGGGAGAGTGTGCTTGTGTGTGTGTGTATGTGTGTGTGAGAGAGAGAGAGAGACAGAGACAGAAACAGTGTGTGTTGGGGAAGTGTGTGAGAGATTGTGTGTGTGGGGTGCATATGTGAGAGAGACAGTGTGTGTGTTGGGGAAGTGTACATGTTGGGGGAGAGTGTGTCGGCATGCTGTCTCTTTAAGTTCAGACAGCCCTTGAACAACCAATCCTGGGGCAGGGGGACACCTCCACACATGAGGCCTGGGCTCTGCACAGCACATCAGTCTCTCTCCGCCCACCCCCCGCAGCAGCAACCCAGTCTGCCTGCCAGCCAATTCCACATTAATATTTGTGATTCCCTCTGAGTTCTCCCACAGTCTCTTCAGCTACCAGGAGCGGCATCCTCAGGAGCTGCCTTTTGCCGACAAAACTGTGTAGTGTAGACAAGGCCTTAGTGTAACTGGTACAACTATAACTCTAGATAGAGAGTATACGCAGAGGGAGAGGCAGTTTTAATGAGAGGCTGCAGACAGGAATTGGAGTATGATAACCTCAAAAAAGTGACTAGAGGATACACCAATCCCTGTCTGAAACGTCAAAGAGCATGAAACAATGGGTCTGAGAGGTGGGAAATGCCCCAGTCATCTCACTCAGAGCCCTTCGGCCTATGAATTGTGCAGCCATGGAATTAGACATTTTTCTAAAATATCACAAAATTCAGCATTTTTCTGTAGAATTCATTATTTTGTTGTAACCAGGCACTTGGCAATTTTCTCTCTCCTTGCCCTGCTGGGACCCACCTACAACTGTTTCTTGTTTCACATTTTGCCCACAGAGAGGAATCAGTTGGATTACAGTGTGCATTCTGGCACAGTTCTCAGGAGCCAGGCTGGAGGTGGATTGATGAGCTAGAGCTGGTGTACAGTTTACACCCAGAAAACAGGGGAGCAAGCTGTGCAGCTAGGCTGTTTAGAGAATAGAGCAAATGCTGAGGCCCAGGGATTTTGAGAAGATAAATTGCTGAAACTGACTCTAAGTTCCCACCTTAGTCCTGTATGCATTTGGGTGCAGGAGGCAAGAATGGAGAAAGAACAAATGAACATTGCAGCAGAATGTGGTCCCACTGTGCTGCTAAGTACATGGGCTCCTGATTATTACTGTTCTTTATCTTTTGAGTCAGGTGCACATTCACATGGAGGGAGGGGACTGAATTTTTGAAACAAGGAGCTTATGGATGCAGGAATAGACTCAGGCAGTTGCTGTGGTAGAAAGCTGGGGAGATGAATTGTAGCAGGAGGAAGGGGGAGGCAAACATAATGCTACATCTTAAAAACAAAACAAAACAAACATGTAATTGCTTCAATAAGACATAAGCCTAGCACCTCCCTGATCAGTTTACTTGTACATTTTATCTCTTTCCCCCACCCTCCATATTTTGTCCTCTTCTCAGATTATACAACAGGGGTCGGCAATGTTCGGCACGCAGCTCGCCAGGGTAAGCACCCTGGCGGGCTGGGCCAGTTTATTTACCTGCTGCCGGGGCTGGGTCGGCCGACCTGCCCCCCCAAAGGCCGCGGTTCACCGTCCCGG